TAAAATAAAAAAAATTCTAAAAAATCTAATATGAGAATTGCTCTAATATCAATTATTGGAATAAAAAATACATTTCAAAATTGTTGATCTATAAAAACTAAACACACAATCTCGTACTGAATTAATGAAAAATATAAATAAAAGCGTAATTGAATCTATCGCAGAAGAATTATTCACATCCGGTAGTAAAATCTTCTGAATCTACATGATGCCTCAAAATTAATTTTTTCTGGTGACGGAATTTCAGAAAAATAAGAATGGTAACTTTGTTATTCATGGACCATAACCGTATTTTATATCGACAAATTTTTGTAATTATCATTTCACTCGTACTTAAATCCGATACATTAAGACACAATACTGTTTAACCATATTTGATTACTTTTAAAGAAATTAATTAAATTGATAGTTTGATATGCATATCAAAACCCACATTAAGCGCACATATTAGAAAAAATCCAACATCACACACCTCTCTTTCTATTGTTTTTTTTTTACTGCTTTGTTTTTTTTCACAGATTCTGTTTTTTTTTTTTAAGAATCTCTCTCTCTATTTTTTTTAATTATAATAACATCGAAAAAAAATTATTGAAAACAAACTAAATGAATTAGCACTTTATGTAACAAGTACTAATTTTATGTAAGAAAATAAATATAAATAATAAATAAGAAAGACAATAGATTTATCGGAGTGTAAACTCTGATACCAACTGATGCAGAACCCAAGATCAACAATGGAATCCAAAACTCTGCATATACATCAATAATAAAAAACGTACACTCCGATACCAACTGATGCAGAACCCAAGATCAACAATGGAATCCAAAACTCTGCATATACATCAATAATCAAAAATCCAAAATTCTTAGCAAACCCTCCCTACTTGACCCGCACCTAACATGGGAGTAAAAACCAAGATAATTGGGAAAGAAATAAAGAACTAGAATTGAAAATATGTCATGAGACTTATCTCGATAAGTGATCCCAGTTCTTATCACAACAAGTCGGTCGAAAATTCACCAATTCACTCTTGAAAGCTTAAAACAAAAATACCTAAATTTTATTAATAAATTAAAATTTTTGAATTAAATTACAACTCTAAATTAAATGCTTATTTATAGTGTAGGCTATGTGAATAATAAGAAAAAAAATAATTTCCTAATAATAGTAGAAATTAAATAGAAAATTAAATCCAGACTAGAATAAAAAAAAATAGCAAAAATTACAACTAAAATATGATAAATATGATTTCCTTATGAAGAAAACTTTTTAAATAGGTAATATCTTAATTAATTGTGATTGATTTAAGGGAAGAGATTTTGCCAAAATATTTTTCTCTTTCTAAAATATTTTTCTTTTTCGTGAGATTTAGCATTTAAGGAGTTTACTTCTTTCTCAAGATAGCTTGCAATTTAGGAGCAATTTTCTCTCTTGGTTGATCTTTAATTGTGAAGATTTTCTACATTATTAGGAAATAAAATTATATGAGAATTTTCTTTTTTTATGTCTTGCAG